GACCCGCTCCTTGCGCGTGCGGTCGATGGCGGCACGTGATCCCGACTGGCTCGGGTCTCGCAAGGTGGGCACCAAGGCCACGGACCCGACGGTGGAGGTCGAGGGCACGAGCTACGAGTTCGCGGTGGAGGTGGGCGTGGACGACGACCTGCCCAACGGAGCTTATGCAATCCCAAACTTCACGCCTCCGCATGCGATCCATTTCGGCACGCAAAAGGTTTTCATACCAGCCTCCGGCGCCACGTACAACGACGTGGTGAGGCCCATGATGAGCAAGCTGCGTGAAAAGATCGACGCGTGGTTCCAAACGCTCGTGGGCCAGGTCGATGCTTCCAACAACGCCAACGCGTTTTCCATTAAAGCTTCCCGCTACGCCACCGAGAACGGGGGCGGCGGGAAACAGCTCGCGTATAAGATCGAGATATACCTGGTGAAGCTGGAGTTCAAGGGCGGGGCTGTATCTGCCGACGGTGCCGTACGCGCGGGGGCACACTCGGCGACGATTCAGACTCACGTGCGTGCCTCTGACTCACCACAGCCCAACCCCGGCCCCGACCCTACACGGCCGGAACCCTCGCCCTCGCAGGTCACGAAGCATTGCCCAGGCTTCGCAGGCCATGGCGATACCCTGTCCATACCGTCAAAGAGTGAGCAACCCGCTTGTTGCATCTTGCTGTAAGGGGCGGCATCGAGGAATCTAAGAGGGGCGACACCGGCAATGTCTGCCGCTGCCCGGCGGCAATGTCGCGAATCAGAAGTGCTTGTTGATAACGAGGCAGGTGCTTCTGGCGATCGCAAGTGGACGTGCTTCAGCCTGCGGTGCATGCCTACAGTGGGCGGCCTCAAGTTTATGAAGTTTGCTTGTGGGCGGGTGCGTTTCTGCTCTGTCGATTGCCAACGGGCGGACTGGTCCGTTCACAACTGACCTGCACAGCACGCAAACCCAAGAAATGAGCCGAGCCCGCCGGAGCCGAGCTGGGGCACGGGACGCGTCGCGGGAGGCGGCGTTTGCCCTGAACGAACGCGTGAACCGTAATGTCGTGGTTATGCGCGCGCGCCCGCAGGTGGGTAGGGTAGGACAGGGTGTGCGAGACTCAAAAGGCGAGGGAGCCGCAGGCATGATGTGCGGGTGTGGGTTTTACCGGGTGTCGAATACCCTCAGGGTTATGTGGTCGCGGCTTATTTGTCGATTCCTCATATGTCTTGGGAGGCTGAGGCTGTATGGGGGGGTCCATACTGTGACCTGGTAGCATATGTCTTGGGAGGACGTTCCTGAGTACGTGCTCGACCCGTCGTTCAGTGACCTACAGCGCCAGCGAGGGGTTCGATGCAGCCGAGATGCAAAATCCCAAGCCTCCGTTCCCCCTTGGACGCGTCCCTCCCCTGTCCAAGAGCGGCCGCACATTGCTCGGTACCCCCCCTGCACATCTAAAGTCATCCCTGCTGCTAGGGGGGGGGGTCTGACCCCCCCAGCAGCAGAGCGCTGCTGCTGGGGGGGGGGGGGGTCCCGACCCCCCCAGCAGCAGAACGCTGCTGCTGGGGGGGGGGGGCCCCACCCCCCCAGCAGCAGAGGGGATTTTGGACCCCGGTCTCCGGGCTCCCGCATCTTTGGCGCCTCCTGCCCCTCCCAGGGAGGTTTGTGTTTTAGAAAGACGTTCCAGGATTTTGTTTTTACCGTGCCTTCCACCCCAATAAACCTTTTTTGTGTCCAGGTGGGTCTCCCAAGGCCGCCCAATATTCAAAAGACCTGGGAA